ATTTGGCTGCAAGTGATTAAGAATACAATTAACTGTAGCTTAAATAAATGAGTTTTTTTTAATATAAATAATCTAAAGATAGGTGGTTGCCTAGTATTGGTTCAGCTCCTCAACAATGCTAAATAAACTCCTTTTCTTTTCTGCCATCCTTGGTATGTTGACCATGGTTTTTACACTTCTAGCCTACTGGCCACAGGACAGGTGCAGTATCTCCAGCTCCCCTACCTGAGTTTCAGAAATGAAAGGGAAAGAAAAAGGTCTTCTTTTCCTGAAGCCTTGTCTTTTTAATTCAGGGAAGGAAGTCCCACCAGCAGTCTCACTGGTCAGAACTGGATTATCTGCCATACTTAGACTAATTACTGGCCACAGGGAAAGAGAATACCGTAACTGGTTTAGACTGATTATATCGCACTCCTGGGGCTTAGGGAAGGGCCTGCTCTCTCTGAGATTAAGGGCTCCCCATTAACTTCCTGAACAAATCCAAGTTCTATTAGCAGGAGAGAGGGGGTGTTGTTAGGAAGAATGACTGTGGATCAGCTATAAAAAGTGCTTATTAGAATAACACACTTTTGGTGGAATAGTCCTGGCCATGGAAAGATTTTCCTCTATTGAACTAACATCCACACCCTAGATTTCCGCTTCTATTTCAGGTCCTAGTTTGCTCTCTGGAGTCACAGAAAGGGGGAGATCTAGGTTTTATTGGTTCTAAAAATCATACAATTGGTGGGGGGAGTGGAGAGGGCTTATGTAAAATAACACAAATTTACTTAAAGATTCAAAATTAGATACAGGGTCTTGGAAGGAACCCATACAAGTAAGGAGCCCTAAAACTTAAACCTGATTATCTTCATCATAAATCAGCTTCTGCCCACCAAGAAGAAACAATCCCTCCTTCACATCACAACCTTTTAAATAATTGAGGCTATTGGTCCCAAGTCTGCAAAATCTTCTCCCCTTATCCTGATTGCCAAGCTCTTCACTTTCTTAGTCAGCTTTTCTGAATTGGTCCACGCTGGTGGGGGCCATTCATGCCAAGGTATGCTGAGTAGAGTGGACAGAGAGAGTTCCGATATGAGATTCAGTCCTCCTAGAGAGTGAAGCAGCCTTGCCCTCCAAAAGGCTCCACTGGAAAGAAAATACCCTTGGGAGAGTGGGAATCGTGAAGAACTTGTTTTTCAAACACTGGACGTAGGCGAGCACGACCTAGTCAAAAAATGTGCACAAGTCAAATAAATTAAAACACTTACCAGGAAGCACCACTAAGAGAATTTTATGAGTGTACTGCAAAAAGCCCACACTTCAGAAGCTAAAAGATAAAGATCTAAAACAACTTTAAGTCTATAAAATGAGGATGATACCACTTTCCTCACAGCATCGTTATAGAGACTTACATAAAATACCTGAACATTTTTTCAAAAACACAATACTACGTATAAGATAATGTAAATTTTACAGATCAAGCGACAAAAATACCTGCCTGCTGCAAGTAGAAGACAGAATGAGATCTCCTAGAATGAGATCATGGCCTCGGCCTAGTTTCATGCTCTCTTTACTCAGTTAAATCTTCCTCTAGCCAGAATCTCATGTTTGAAAGCCCACCCTTCCTCTCTTTGCAAGTATTCCTGGGAGGAGTAAGACCTTAAACTAATTCATACTAAAGTATTGGCCACATAGGCCAATTGAAAAATGGGGGATGGCTGGAGTAGAGGTGTGCGGAGAAGCAACATGAAAGATAAACTGAAGACAAGTCACTTCTTGTTCCAAAGCACTCAGGCTTTTCCCTACTTCTGGAAATTCAGGAAATAAGACCTAAGCATTCATGTTTCATGAATCCATATTTCATGCATTACTTTGTTTCAAATTACCTGGAACAGAACTGGTGGTGTACACTCCTCCTTTATCCTGCTAGGGAAAAAAAAGTCGGAAAACCTTGCATGGCTCCAGGCAAGTTCATAATATTGAGTAATAGAAAGGCGGAAGTGAAAACATTTTGCCATCAGGTTTGCCTAATGGTGAAACCAGGATGAGACTGAGAGACTTAAGGGAAGAAAAGAGAAGGAGCCAAGGCTCAGGGCTTCTAGAAGTTAATGTGCACATGAGTCATCTGGAGCTTGTGTTAAAGGGTTCAAGTCAGGGGTGGGGCCTGAGACTCTGCATGACCCACAAGCTCGCAATTTGTTGACACTGCCCATTAGTGGGTCACACTTTGAGTAAGGAGGTCTTTCGATGACTGCCCCACACCTGTGACTATTGCTTGATACCAGAGTCTGCAAAGGTACTGGGAGACCATATGGTCTACTATGTGGTGACCACATTGCCACTAACTCCCTTGGACAAGTAAGTATTCAATCTTTCTCGGCATTAGTTTTCTCATCTATAAAATGAGGTAATTAGAACAGATGATTCCTGAGATCTCTTCCAGCTCTTAAAACCTGTGATTCTGTACCTTTTTCAGTACATAAGAGGATTTCTTTTAATTTAGGTTTTTTTTTTCACCTTAACCATTTTTTATTTTTATTTATTTATTTTTTGATGGAGGTACTGGGGATTGAGCCCAGCACCTCACAAATGCTAAGCAAGCACTCTATCACTGAGCTATACCCTCCCCTCGCATTTAATTTTACATAAACTAAATGAACAAACAAATAAAAAAAAAACTGGGTTTACATATGAGTTTTGTTAAAAATAACCTAAACCTCAACTTTCCTTTAAAGAGAGAATCATCACATTTTAAAGGCCTATTTTCCAACAAAAGGGCCCAGTGTATGAGTAGGTTATTTGGATGGTGATTAAGAAAGCTTAAGCCACAGACAGAACATTAAAAGGAGTTAGAGTAAAGCTTTCGCAAAAATACCCCAAATTTAGAAATCATTAAGGAGAAGATCAATACATTTGTTTATAAAAATATTAAAACATCATCATACCTCCCAACCCCAAATAAGAATGAAGTCAAAGACAAACACCACCACAAGAAAAAGGTTTTGCAACATATGTGACTGTAAATGACTAATTTCTTTAATTTCCAACATCTCATATAAATAAAACATAAAACC